AACGGCGAGGAGATGACACTCAAACAGTTCCTGGACTACTTTAAGGTGAGACCCCTCCCTCCCTCTCATCCCACCTGCGGGCAGTGTGCGGGCGAGGCTCGCTGGGCCGTCCACCCCCATGACGCTGCTGTCCCCCTCCCCCCTCCTCCAGACAGAGCATAAGTTGGAGATCACCATGCTGTCCCAGGGTGTGTCCATGCTCTACTCCTTCTTCATGCCAGCCGCCAAGCTCAAGGAACGGTTGGATCAGCCGTGAGTTGGGGGGGCGGAGGGTGGCGGAGGGCCTCCACTTGCAGCTGGTCTACCCCCCATTCACTGCCCTTCATCTCTGCCTCCCTGAGCCTCTGCTCCCCTGCCCCCCAGGATGACCGAGATCGTGAGCCGTGTGTCGAAGCGAAAGCTGGGCCGCCATGTGCGGGCGCTGGTGCTTGAGCTGTGCTGCAACGACGAGAGCGGCGAGGATGTTGAGGTCCCCTATGTACGATACACCATCCGCTGACCCCCGTGCACGCGCAGTAGGCTGGCCCCAGCCCCGCCCCCCTCCAGCCCAGGGCTCCCATCGGGCCTCTGGCAGTGGCCCAGCTAGCCACGCCTGGTGTTCCCTCCTCACCCCCCGCCCCGCACCCCTCTTGCCGCTGCTTTCTACCTTGTTTGGAACCTGAATCCTAATAAAGAATTATTAACCCAGATGTGGCACGCCCTGGTACTTCCAGGGAAGGGAGGGACTTCCGGAGCTGTCGGTTCAAGTGGTAGCCCAGAGGGTTCAGCCCCACCCTAGCTGTGCCAGTTGCCTGGGCAGAGAAAAGGTGGGAATTGCCACTTCTTCCTCCCACCCTCCCCGCTTGGGAAGAGAGGAGATGGAGGCACAGGACACAGGTACCTGGGTCCGTGTGACTATATTTGAGCTGGATTCAAATTCCACCTTGTCCGGCTCCACCTACTCCTAACTCCCTGCCATGTTCATTTTGAGAGGTAGTAGTCGTGTTTGAGCAAGTCGTGTAACTTCTCTAACCTTGTTCCTTCTGTGAAGAAGAAAGCTAACTGCGACCCGTCAGCCGGGGCTTGGTCAGCATGGCTTATGTCCTGGCCGGTGGGGGGACAGATGCCTTCCCATCTGGCTTAAAGCACTGAGCCCCTGGACAAGTCTTTACCATCAGTGATTCCTGTGGTGCCCTTGTTCAACTTCCCAGCTGCAGGGGGTGCCTAAACAACTCTGTTGGACTGAGGAATGTCCGTAACTATGCAGACTTTGCAGTTTTTAATGAAAATATTTGGCTGAGAACATCTGTGGAGGAAAAGCCCCTTTCCCACTCCACCCTGCTCCCCCTCAGGCCTGGTCTGCTTGTCCCGAGGCCTCCTACCTTTGAGAAGAGAGCCAGCTGTGGGTTGTTGATTAGTTAGAGCAGGCTCAGCACAGCAACCCCCCCCCCGCCCCCGCAGGACTGCAGAGCTGCCTATGCTTGTCCTTGGTCTTGACGGAACACTCCAGACAGTTGAAAGCACCAATCAGACTGGCCACCTGATGCCTGGGGATGCCACTCATATCTCTCCCTCACCCAGCCAGAAGCCCAACTTTTCTCCCACTTGGAAACAGACCCCTCATTCCTTCATTCAAACCTGGGTACTGGGAATAGCACAACCTATCCCTGAACCTGGCCTGACACTCATCACAGCCTGCCCCCACATCTGCTGCCTCCTGGGCCAGCTCCAGACCCCAGGCACAGTGTATGCCCTTGTCCGCTTCCCTCTCGTGATTATTTTTTTCCTTGGCCTACTCTGCTTGGGTGACCTCATCCTTCCATACTTCCTTTTTATTCCTCTCCAGGACATTGGGGACTGAAGTGCTTTACCTCTAGCATCTATTTAGTGGTGATGCTAACTGCTTAGGTCAAGTGGAGAGGTTTTCCCTCCAGAGATACTTTCCCATTGCTGCTCAAGGGTACCCCCAAACACTCCACACCTTTGTCCACTGTTGCTACCATCTGAGACTTGAACACAAACTTTTTTTTTTTTTAAAGATTTTATTTATTTATTTGACAGAGACACAGCAAGAGAAGGAACACAAGCAGGGGGAGTGGGAGAGGGAGAAGCAGGCTTCCCGCTGAGCAGGGAGCCCAGTGCTGCGGGGCTCGATCCCAGGACCCTGGGATCATGACCTGAGCCGAAGGCAGACGCTTAACGACTGAGTCACCCAGGCGCCCCGAACACAAACGTCTTCTGCCCCCTTTCTCTACTATCCCAGCTCCTTGTCCACTATCTCCCCCGTTATAGCTCTTGATTCTCCAGACACTTTTGTCCCTTTGTTCACCACCCCAGCTCCTGGATCACCTTCCTACCTCATTCATACCCGAAACACTTCTTTATCAAGAACAGCTTCAGCAGGAACCCTGGAATCCTGGTTGTATCTTAGTTCTCCCACATGTGCCATTTTCTGTCCTGTTTGGCTACCATTGTAACACCAACAAGATAGAAGACCAGAGTTCAGTGGGCAGGGTTTGGGTCACTTCACTGAGCCCCCTGCACCGGGCAGGCAAGCACAAAGGAAAGTGTGTACACGGTTGTCTCTTGTCTTGACCTAGAGCTATTTGCCATCAAACATTTGCCATAACATTTGTTGAGGGCTTACTATGGACCAGGCACTATTCTAGGCATTGGAGACAGCAATGGATCCAAAAACAAAACAAAAAAATCCCTTCCTTGAGGCCTGTGTGTTGTGGGGGGTGGGCTTATGTTCTGCTAGGGTGAGACCCAGAATAGACAAACACAAGTAAATTGTAAGAAGTTGACCCGTGTCATTCAAAAGGTCTGTAGGGCCAGGTCTGGGGGTCTCAAATGATGGGGGTGCAGGTAGGCATTTTTAAATAGGGCATTCAGGGAAGGCTTCATGAAGGTGACATTGAAGCAAGGACTTGGAAGAAGTGAAGGGATGAAGCATGTGGGTATCTAGAAGAATATTCCTGGCCAAGGGACCAGCAAGTGCAAAGTCCCTGAGGCTGGATTGTGCCTGCTTTATTCAGAAACAGCTTGAAGGGAACAAATACGTCTGGAGTAGAGTGAGAGGAAGAAGGGTAGGAAATGAGAATGAGGTCAGAGAAGTGATGGACCTGATGGTCTAGCCCGCGGTGGACTTCTGTCTTCATCAAGTATTTCCACTCCCATCATGCTCTGGTAGTCCTCCCTAGTATGAACCTTACTGAAAACTCTAACCGGTGTGATCAAGGCTGCCATAAAAGGAAGCCCAGAAGAGGCGGGGAAGCTGGCTTTGGACTGGGGTGCAGTGTAAAGATGTCCCAGAAGGCCTGCCAAAAGCTGCCGCCATTTGAGCTGGGCTTGTTGATATTGTGTAGAGTTTTCCAGGCATAGAGGAGTGAGGGCTTAGGTGTGCTGGCAGTGCTTGACACACAACAGGCGCGCAATAAATACAATAGAAAACCGCAGACCTGGGGAGAACCACGGCGGGGCCCTGTCAGGCAAGAGGGAGCTGAGAGGCGGCAGGCGAGAAAACCCAATTCAGGATGCATACGCAAATGCTCGCGTGAGGCGGTAAAGAGGTCTCCTTCCGACCTAAAGTCCCAAGCATGCGCAGTAACGCACCCTCCCCTCTAAAGGTCCGCCTTTCTTTTCTCAGCCTAGGCTCCACCCCATGAGTCTTGCTGCGGGGCGGGGGGAATGGGAGGGGTTAGAGGCGGGACGAAAGACGATTGAACGCTTCTTTGACCAATAATCTTGCGGAATAGTCGGCCTATAGTGAGAGAGGCGCTCAGAACAAAAAGAAGTGCCCGCCCCTGGCGCCGAAAGCCAATGAAAATCTGGCAGAGGCGTGGTACGGGGCCGTGAAATCACGCCTCTTCAGCTCAGCCACGCCCTTCATTCTTGCTCTGCCTCACCCCAGGGGGCAAATCCGATTGGCTGGGCGACAACCTCAAAGGGCGGGCCGCACACGTTCACAGTGGGAATGAGCTAGCGGAGGTGGGGGGGGGAGCTGGGCGGGGCTAGACTCTGTCCTATCTAAGGTGGTAAAGGCCAATGATTCTCCAGGCCGCCTCTCCTAGAAAAGTCATCTTCTCGCGAACCTTTAAATTTCCTGCCTTCTGAGGCACCTCAAGGGACTCAGACTGACTGCTTCATCTGTCTTTTTCCTCCTTGCAAAAGTCCCGTTCGCCACCATGGGGATGTACCAAGTGAGACCAAGTAGGGGGACCGAGTGGTGACCGGCACGCTGGTTACTGGCTGCTGCCCACTTCGGCGCTAGCAAACTTCTAACAAGATCGGAACTGAGTACTAAGCAACCTCTACATTTCCCCCTGGCGCCGTTCCAGGGCTGGCGCCACATTCCCCGGTGGGCGCGCAATGGCCGCGCCCCCTCCCGCAGCGGACGGGTCTTTTGGCACATGCAGTCCGAGGTAAGTCCCCTCCTTCCCACTTCAGCCTTTTCGGCGCGTGCGTGCGCATGCGCGGAGCGCGGCGCGCGCGGCGGTTGGGCCGTTGGGTGTTCGGCCCTGGGATCCGCCGCGTCTCCGCAAGCAGTCGGCTCTGAGCCGCGAGCCGCCGTGAGCTCTCGGATTCGAGCGGGCGCCAGCGAGCCCGGGGGCATCGCCCGCAGCGGCCAAGCTCATGGCCGGCTGAGCGGGACGCCGCCTCCGCCTCAACCACCGCCGCCGCCGCCGCCTCCTCCTCCTCAGCCGGCGGCGGCCCGGGCCCAGCAGCCATGGCCGAAGACTACTGGGACGGGCGCCTGCGGCGAACAGGAGGAGAAGGAGGTCGCGCGGCCTCGCCCCGGGCCGCCGCCCCAGGCGCCGCCGCGCCGGCCCCGCGGCGCTGAGGTTGCTCGTGCGCCCCCGCCGGTGAGCGCGTCCCCGAGACGTGGGGTGGGGGCTGCCCTTCCTCTTGCAGAACCAACCCAGACCCCGGGCGGTGCCCAGGGGTCTGGGCTGCACCGCTGGCATGTGCCCCCTCCCCCAGCGAATTTCCCAGAGTGCACCGGGGCGGGGGTCATTCGGGGCCTTCCTGACCTTGGCCCCGCCCTGGGCCCGGTCTGGGAACTGGGGATGGGTAGTCCTGTGGGTGCTAATGGGAAGCAGGGTGATCAAAGGACCAGAGGATGTGGAAGTGGGTGGTGAAAGGCTCGAGGTTTGCTAATGGCCTGAGCTGTGGAGGGGTCGGAGCATGTGATAATAAGTCTTACCGCTGTGTAGGGCTTGAGGCCCAGCGTGTGCTAATGGGGGGGGGGGGCAGTGAAGGGCCCCGACGGTGTGTGATAGGGGAGAGCATGTCAGAGGAATGCTGAGGTATGCAAACGGGGTTAAAGGTGTGGAGAGACCCCGTGTGTGTTAATGGGGGATAAGGTGGTAGAGATAGCAGAAGGTATGCTAATAGGATCAGGGCTCTGAAGCCCTGTGTGTGTGGTAATGAGCGTCAGGATGGTGTTAATACTGTGTATTTGCCCATGAGGGACTGCAGCGTGCGGGGGTCTGGAGAGTGCTCATGGAGGTCAGGGTAGTGGAAGAACTCGAATGTTGAGTGTGTGCTAATGGGGGTCATAGCTGTAGAGGGTACGTGCGTGTGTTAATAAAGGTCTGGGTAGTGTGAGGCCCAGGATATGCTAATGGGGACAGAGTGGTGGAAGACCTGAGCCTGTGCTACTGGGTACCAGAAGTTATGAATATATGTGCGGTGGGAGGGCACAGTGGTGAGGGAAATGTCTTAGCACTGTAAGAGATTCAGTATATTAAGGATCAAGATGGTGTGAGGTCAGTGTGTGTGTGTGTGTGTGTGTGTGTGTCCATGTCCATGTCCATGAGGACAGGGGATGTGAGACTCCAGGATGCGATCAGGGACAGTTATATGTGAAATTTTAGTGACCGTTGATATGGGTTTAGAGCCTTGGAGGTGCTTAAATGTGTGCCATTGGGGGAAGAGTCAGAGCAGTATGGGGTCTGGAAAATGCTAGTGAGCGTCAGAACATTGTGAAGACAGTGTGTGCTTGTGTCCCCGGGGGACCGGGGTGTATTGAGGTTCCAGGGGGTGCAGTAAGGAGGATGGGGGTTGTGAAGGGATTCAGATGTGAACCAACAGGCATTATAGGTGTGGAGGAGTTGAAGCAAAGAGAAATAAAGGACAGGAATATGTGAAGGTCTAGGTGTGATAAAGTGGATTTAGAACCATGGAGGGCTGAAGTGTGTGCTAATGGGGCTCCAGGCTGAATGAAGACCTATGTGCGCTAATGAGGGTCAGGCCATTATAGAACACTGTGTTTGTGTGTCCCTGGGGAATGGGGCTGAGTAAGGGTTCAGGGTGTGCTAATGGGGAGGCACTGTGGAGAGGCCCAGTGTGTGCTAATAGAGGTCAGGGTGAAGTGAAGGTCCAGCTTGTGCTGATGGGAGGTGGTGGGGACAGGGTAGTGAGAGGACCAGAATATGGGTTTAATGATGGTTATAGCTGTCGAGGGGTCTGAGTGTGGGCAAAAACAGTCAGGTCAGGGATTGGCAAGTTTCACTTTGTGTTAATGAGATTCAGGGCAGTGTGAAGGTCCAGTGAGTGCTAATTTGGGTCAGCTGTAGAGGGTCCCAAGTGCATGTTAATAGGGGTCAGAATTATGCACGGGGAACAGTGTGTTAATGGGGGTGAGTGCTTTGGAGAAGCTAACAGGCAGCTGGGCCTAGGAGGCGCCCAAGAATGTGGCGGGGAGCCTTGGGCGGTGAGCGTTAACTTAGAGGGGCCTGAGCCTATGCAAACAGAGTTCTCTGCTCTGTTGGGGCTTCCTATGCTGATGGGGGTTAGAAATAAATGGGGAAATTGCAGGTGCTGATAGTTAAAATGCAGAGAGGCCTTCTTGAGGGGCCAGTGTGTGCTTATGGGGGACTGGAAAGGATGAGGATGGTGTGTTCTTGGTGGGAGTTGTGTGGTGACTATGTTGACTAGAGTGTGATGACTGTGTTCTCAGTGGACAGTGTGGTGTGAGGTGATGAGTGCCCTTGGGTGTGAGAGTATTTTGAGGAAGGGTGTATGTCCTCGGGGGTCAGGAAGGACAAATGTCCTTTTTTTGAGTGGAGTTGTGTATCCAGTTTCTTGCTCCTTCCTTCACTATTCTGAAATCTAAAAAGCTCAGAAAATGGAAATAATAATATTTAAAAGTTTTACTGTATATTAATGTTCAAGTGTCTCTGTTCACAAAGGTCTGCCCAGGGCACCCCTGCTGGGAATGTTGCGTGATATACAGATTTTGTATCCTGTCTTCCTAAAATCCCAAAAAAACTGAACTCTGGAACATGTCCAGCCCTTGGAGTTTCCAGTTAGAGGTCATGGACCCTGACTCCTCTGGCTCCCTCCTCATCTTCCATCCGGCCCTACTTACTGTCCCCCCAGATGCCCCATTCCCTGCCACAACAGGCAAAGCCGGCTGGGTATTCGTACCATGGATGCAAGACTGCCTTTGGGGCTGGCCATGCTTCTCCTTCTTCAGCTTCAGGTCCAGTGTACGGCCTACTGGGTCAGGATTTTTTTTGTTATCCTAGGTTCTCTGAATGGACCTCATCCTCTTTACTGGGGTCTTTCCGCTAGGCTGGCCCCTGTGCTCCTCCTGGGGGTGGTGAGGCCAGGCAAGTGGAAGCAGGGTGTAGGGACCAGTGGGGTAAGCACCTGATGTCAAGGTAACAGATGACCCACTTCTCTCCTCGAATCCAGCCCCAGCCTCATCCTCCCACCTCCTATCTAGCTCCACTTCCCTTGGGCCCAGGGCCATCTTGGGCCCTGCTGTGAGTCCAGATGGTTCCTAGGCCAGGTCTTTCCCCCTCCTTGCTGGCCTGGAGCCCAGGAGGAAGCAGAAGAAGGCCAGCCTAAGCCTTTTGGTGGCCCTGTTCCCTCCAGCAGCCCCATCTAGGTCATCTTCCTGCCGACGCTAGTGTCCCTGGGCCACGTTTTCTGGAGTTGTTCACGGGTAGCAAACTTACCATGCCCATCCTGGTAGAGATTGGTCTTAGGCCCTCAGCCCCCTGATTCATTAATTTCTGCCGTAAGCACTTTTTGAGCGTCTACTCTGTGTCAGTCACTGTTCCAGGTCCTCAGGATATAGCCGTGACCTAAACAGACAGAAATCTACCCTGGCGGAGCTGATCTTCTAGTTATGGCGGTGAGGAGACAGACAGTTAAGAATATAGAAACCAATAAGTAGATGGTATCATTTCTGAGGAGGTGATAAGTGCTGGGGGGATAATTTGGCAAAGTGAGGGGGAGCTCAGTGTGGTTGAGATTTTAAATAGGTTTATTTGTGGAGGGTTATCCATGAAAAAGGTGGTATTTGAGCAAGGGTCCGAAGGGGGTGAGGGAGTGAGCTATTTTGAAATCTGAGGGAAGGGTATTTCATGTACCAGGAACTGCCAGTGCAAAGGCCCTAAGGTGGGACTGCTGGGTGTGGTTGCAAAACAACTAGCAATGGTTGAGGGGGAGGTGAGGCCAGAGAGATAATAGGGGTGAATAGGGTGAGACCTAGTGGGCCACCCTTGAGGACTGGGACATTTATTTGGGGTGGTAAGGGAGATGTGCACTCTCAAGTAGAGGAGAAATGAGGCTAGGCCTGGCTTATAAAAATCTGAGTGGGACCCATAGGGTCCCAGCCTGATTGAAACTTTCCAGCGACCCTCAGGACAGCTGGTGTCTATTGAGATCCCTCCCCCCCTGGAACCTACCCAGTGGTTGGGTCTGGGTAGGACTCCCCTCTCTGTACACCCCTCACTTGAGTAGACCAGTGGGGTAGTCCACTTAATCACCGTGACAGTGGTTGCTGGGGAAGGCAGGCGGGTCCTTGTGGTTGTGGGGAGCATTCTGCCTCGGCAGTTGGGGGTGATGTGGGGCTGGTGCCGGCGGAATATGCCATTCTATGGGCGAGCCCAGGGCCGTATTGATGGCCCCTTGGTCCTGGGCGAGCCGCTCGCCCCACCCACAGCTGGGCCCATCACCACTGCTGCACCTGAGAATACCTGCTGTGGAGGCCTTTGTTCCCACAGTGAGGCTGCCCCCACAGAGGCCAACAGTCCACCAGTTGGGCCCTTGCCCTCGGCCAGCCACCCAGGCCTCAACACCCAGGTGCGCTACTTAGGAGCAGGGTCCCCGGGGCTGGCTGGAGGTGGGCAGGCACTGACAAGGGTCCCCATCTATGCCAGGTTTCCGGGAATCCCGAATGGTTCAGGCCTCCACAGTGGTTGGGTGGGCACTGACACAAGTTCATGTCAGTGTACCTCACTAAGTTGTCTTGGGCTTTAGGGGGCCCGTGGTGGTCAGGCAAGTGCTAACGTGGGACCCATTCCCATCTATTCCCCCCTGCTCAGGTCGCCATGGATCGGATGAAGAAGATCAAGCGGCAGCTGTCAATGACACTCCGAGGGGGCCGAGGTGTGGACAAGACCAATGGTGCCCCTGAGCAGATAGGCCTGGATGAGAGTGGGGGTGGCGGTGGCAGTGACCTTGGAGAGGTACCCACTCGTGCCGCTCCTGGGGAACCTCGCTCTGGACGGGGCCCCCTCAGCTCTGCACCAGGTAGGTCCACTGACCACTCCTGCCCCGAGACTGGTCCCCAAGGTGCTGCCTCCCAGCCGAGCTCCCTTTAGACTTGTTTTATTTCCGTTTTCCTTTCTCCATTTTCTCCCCCTTCCCTGCCATCCTCTCAACACCTTCTCTCTATCTGTCCATCTGTGTCCCTTTCCTTGGCTTTGTGCCCGGGCCTCGGGGGAGGAAGAGTGCCCTGCCTGCTATAGCTGCCCCAACCTTCCTTTGCCCTTCTCCTGCACTCTGCTATGGCCCCCTCAGGCCTACGGGTGCCTGCCTGCCCTGGGCCCGCCTTCCCAGGGCCTTTGGCTACTCTGCCGCTGTGTGCCTCCTGGCCCTGGGCCAGCACCAGTCTCAGCTCACCCCTGGAATGGGGTGCTCCACTAGGTGACTATTGCCCCTCCACCCCTATTCAACCCGTCCCGACTTGTCTGAACCTCTTTGGGCCTTGCCACCCTCTCTCTGAGGGACTCCAGGCTGCTCTGGGGGCTTGCTTGTATGGACGTGTGTGATGAAGGAATGTGTTATGCTGGGGAGGGGGTTCCTGGGGCTCCAGACCTCAACTGGTCTGCCCTCCTCCCCCCCTCCCCCGTCCTCACCACCAGAGATTGTACATGAGGACTTGAAGATGGGGTCTGATGGGGAAAGTGACCAGGCTTCAGCCACGTCCTCGGATGAGGTGCAGTCGCCAGTGAGGGTGCGCATGCGCAACCATCCCCCACGCAAGATCTCCACTGAGGTGCTTAACCCCTGTCTGGCTGGTGGTGGGGCTAGAAAAGAGGGTTAAACCCAGGGAGGTGGAGCTCATGGTCCTGTTTCCCACCTATCTTGCCCGCTAGGACATCAACAAGCGCCTGTCACTACCAGCCGACATCCGGCTGCCTGAGGGCTACCTTGAGAAGCTGACCCTCAATAGCCCCATCTTCGACAAGCCCCTCAGCCGCCGCCTCCGCCGTGTCAGCCTGGTGAGCGTCTTCTGTTTCTGTTCTCTCCTCCCCCCACTTCTCTCCTCCCCAGTCCCCTCCCAGGAGCCTGCTTCAATCTGCCCCTTTACCCCACAGTCTGAGATTGGCTTTGGGAAACTGGAGACCTACATCAAGCTGGACAAGCTGGGTGAGGTGAGAGACAATCATGAGGCCTATGGTGGGGATGGGAGTCCATGAGAACTTCGTGCAGCCTCCAGCTCCTTTCCTCTCACTCTTCCTCACACCCCAGGGTACCTATGCCACCGTCTACAAAGGCAAAAGCAAGCTCACGGACAACCTTGTGGCACTCAAGGAGATCAGACTGGAACACGAAGAGGGGGCACCCTGCACCGCCATCCGGGAAGGTATAAACACCCAGGAAGGCTGTCGCAGGCTTCGCGGCCTCTCCCCATGGTACATACGTACATGGCCCATAGTGAGAAGAGAGACTGGGGGTTTTGAGACTTTCCTTCTGACACTCTGAGCTTCATAAGAAAGTGACCATTGTGCAAACCTCTAGATGATAATCAAGGTAACCAGGAATCTGTTCCTGTTTGGAGGAGAGACCAAGGAATTAGAAAGCAGGGTGCTTGCTTTGGTTCTGAGAGAACCCACGAAAGTGCTCACCAGTTTCCTTGACACGACGATTTCTAGGCAGACTATCACACGGAATGAATTTGAATTGCATAGAAATTATATATATGCACAAACTCAATTTCACACGAAGCTGCAGGCCTCTGTACTGAGGGTTGAAACAAAACCCCTTTCCAGAAATCAAAAACAGGTTGTGAAAATCTAATGTCACATAAACCTGGAGCTGCAATCCCAGGTTCTTGCTCCATACTCTTCTCTGAGCCTTAGTTTCCACATCTGGAACATAGGGACACACCTTCCTGGCATTGCGTGGGATCGAGCCAGTGGCTGTGAGCCACCACCCCAGAGTACACAGGGAAAGAAAGAAACCCCGGGCTCATCTCTGTCTGGTCCTCGTCCTCGCCTCTATCCTGAGGGTAGGGTCTTGACTTTTCCCCCATCTCACTCCCATGCTTCCGGCAGTGTCCCTGCTCAAGGACCTCAAACATGCCAACATCGTCACGCTACATGACATTATCCACACGGAGAAGTCCCTCACCCTTGTCTTTGAGTACCTGGTAAGGTTGAGTGGCAGTGGGTCCTGAAGGGGGGAGGTGGGGCGATGGCCACTGTCTCCTCTTTACTCCTCTATTTCCTCTTCTCTCCTCAGGACAAGGACCTGAAGCAGTACCTGGATGACTGTGGGAACGTTATCAACATGCACAACGTGAAAGTGGGTGTGGGGCAGAAAGCAGGGGCACCCGGGGGCCCCCACTCGCCCACTCCACCCCACACATCTCCCAGAAACAGACTTTTCCCGTTTGGCTTTTTTGCTGGGAGCCCTTGGAGGGCATTGGGACCCTGTCCGCTTTCGTGAGCTAAGGCTCTGGGCTCAGTGTCTGTGTTTGGGGGTGGGGAGCAGTGTCCGCTGGGGGTCAGGCTGCTGGATACCCTTTGACCTCCACCTGCCCTTCCGGGTCCCTAGCTGTTCCTGTTCCAGCTGCTCCGTGGCCTGGCCTACTGCCACCGGCAGAAGGTGCTACACCGAGACCTCAAGCCCCAAAACCTGCTCATCAACGAGAGAGGAGAGCTGAAGCTGGCAGACTTTGGTACCCTGGTCTCCCCCTTGTTCTCAGTGATGCCCCAGCCTTACCCTCCTACACTCCCCCTTCCTCATGACCACCTAATCTCCGTCCCCTTCAGCTTCTCCAGGCTTGGCTTAAGATGCTCTCAGTCCCAACTGTACCGCCCCCCCCCGACTGCCTGGGGCCTCCTCAATTCCAGCTGCCCCTTCTCTCAACCTACCAGGCCTGGCCCGAGCTAAGTCAATCCCAACGAAGACCTACTCCAACGAGGTGGTGACACTGTGGTACCGACCCCCCGACATTCTGCTTGGGTCCACGGACTACTCGACCCAGATTGACATGTGGTGAGGACAGGTGGAAGTACGGCAGGGGCCGTGTGGTGAAGGGGGTGGCTCGGTCACAGTGGCCAACCAGCCAACTGCCTCCCTGTTCACTGTGCTCTCCCTGCCTAGGGGTGTGGGCTGCATCTTCTACGAGATGGCCACGGGCCGGCCCCTCTTCCCAGGCTCCACAGTGGAGGAACAGCTGCACTTCATCTTCCGCATCTTGGGTGAGGAGGAGTGAGCCCTGGGAACCATGGGGACATTTAGAGATGCCCTGTGGATGCTTAGGGTAATTCTTCCCCTCCAGGAACCCCAACTGAGGAGACGTGGCCAGGCATTCTGTCCAACGAAGAGTTCAAGACATACAACTACCCCAAGTATCGAGCCGAGGCCCTTTTGAGCCACGCACCCCGGTGAGACTGGTGGGTAGGTGGGTGGGTATTAGGGGCCAGAGTGCCCAAACTCAATTTAAAGCAGGTCCCCTTGTCCTTGCTGTAGACTTGACAGCGATGGGGCTGATCTCCTCAACAAGCTGCTGCAAGTGAGTCCACCTTCCTGGGCCAACCTTGGGGGTTAGGGGATTCTAGGTGTGGGGAAATGGATGGGCTCCAGGGGTATGGTCTGGGGTGGGGAGGAAGAGAGGCCTACTTGTTGAAGGTGTTCAATACACCACCCCCGCCGCCGCCGCCCCTGCCCTCCCCCTACCTGTCCCCCACTCAGTTTGAAGGTCGCAATCGGATCTCCGCAGAGGACGCCATGAAACATCCATTCTTCCTCAGTCTTGGGGAGCGGATCCACAAACTTCCTGACAGTGAGTGAAGTTGGTGGGGGGCTGTGGGGAACAGGACACTGGGCAGGTTGTGCAGGGCTCTGGCTTGTCACCTCTAAGGGGCCACACCCTTGTTGAGACATGTGGTGTGTTTATTACAAAAATTATTTGCTTTTTGGCTCCTTTTTACCTTTCATGGGAATTTTCAAACATACGTAAAAATAGATGCAACATCGTTTTCCCTTTTTTTAGTAAACATTTTCTCATAAAATATATAGGAAATGCACAGATCGTAAGTATACAGCACAATGAATTTTTTTTTTAATTTTATTTATTCATTTGAGACACAGAGATAGAGCATGAGCCGGGGGAGAAGCAGGCTCCTCACTGAGCCAGGAGCCGGACGCGGAGCTCGATCCCAGGACCCCTGGGATCATGACCTGAGCTGAAGGCAGACGCTTAACCATCTGAGCCACCGAGGCGCACCAACACAATGAATTTTCACAAACTAAACACACCCATGTAACTGGCATACAGGTCAAAAACTAGGATGTGAGGGACGCCTGGGTGACTCAGTCTGTTAAGCGTCTGCTTAACATAAAATAACATAAAATAAAAAGATTTTATTTATTTATTTGACAGAGAGATACATAGTGAGAGAGGGAACACGAGCAGGGGGAGTGGGAGAGGGAGAAGCAGGCTCCCCGTGGAGCAAGGAGCCTGATGTGGGCTTCCATCCCAGGATCCTGGGATCATGACCTGGGCCGAAGGCAGATGCTTAACGACTGAGCCACCCAGGCGCCCCTCCCTCTGGTTATTTTGAATCAGCTCCCAGAGATCCCATTCATCTATAAATTTCAGCATGTGTCTCTAAAATATTTTTTAGGGGCGCATGGGTGGCTTAGTCGTTAAGCGTCTGCCTTCGGCTCAGGTCATGATCCCAGAGTCCTGGGATCGAGCCCTGCATCGGGCTCCCTGCTCCGTGGGGAGCCTGCTTCTCCCTCTCCCACTCCCTCTGCTTGTGTTCCCTCTCTCGCTGTGTGTCTCTGTCAAATAAATAAAATCTTTAAAAAAAAATCAAATATTTTTTAATAACAATGTCCTTATCATACCTTAAAAAAATTGGCTCACTTCCTGTTTCTCCCCACTGGATTAAACTAAATCAAATCCCAAACACCATTCATCACCTAGACTCAACAGATGGTAGTTGCAATACCGTTATCATGCTTGACAAAATTCCTGATTTCCTGGTGTCGTGTAATAGTCCGTATTCCCTAGTTGTAGCTGGTTTGTGTGTAAGGATTACTTGATAGGTGGAAGTCAAGCCTCTCAAAAGGCAACTTTTTATAATTCCCCCAATGGTGCCATGTGGGAGGTGATCCTGGATGGCTCTGTGGGTCATTTCCCACTGTCTCTCTTCCATCCACAGCTACTTCCATATTTGCACTAAAGGAGATCCAGCTACAAAAGGAGGCCAGCCTTCGGTCTTCGTCAATGCCTGACTCAGGTAGGTGTGGCCCTCGCCCTCTTCCCTGCCCCAGACACCTACCTGCTTACCCACCAACAGCCATCCGTTCTGCTTTCCCCTGCAGGCAGGCCAGCTTTCCGCGTGGTGGACACCGAGTTCTAAGCTGAGTTCTAAGCCACAGACCGAGGCCCCAGCAGTCAGCAGCTGGAGGGATGCTACTCCCCTCACAGGGCAGCCCGCAACTGCATCCTCCTCGCTTGCTGTCTGCTACCTGCCTGACTCATGCTCGCCTGCCCACATGTCCCCCGCTGCCTGTCCGAACACCTGACCATTGGCCTGTCAGCCCACCCATTGGCCTGTCTGCTGGGTGCTAACAAAGCTCTCATCGCTCCTTCGCCTGGTTTGTCTGTCTTGTCTGTCTGTCTCTCTCTGTCTCGGTAGTTGCCGGTGGACAGCATGGCCGTGCCAGCCTCCCACACTGAGGCCAGGCCTATCCCCCCTCCCCATCATATCCTCCCCCAGGACCACTACCCCACGGCCAGCCAGGGGTCCGGAGCTAGCCCAGGCTGGGGATCTCGACTCAGACAAGATGTGGCAATGCCTTGGGTCTGAGGCTTCCCCTGCCTGCTTTCCTGCCTGCCCCACCTGCCTCATGTTGTGTGGGCCTTTTTTTGTTTGTTTGTTTCATTTCATTGTTGTTTTTTTAATTATTTTAAATGAGGTTTTCATTTTTTAAATGCAATATCTCTGTATACAGACTGGCTGGGCCCCACCCCCTGCGTGTGGCCCTCCCACAGTATTTTGTGCAATGAAGCCCCGCTCCCAGCCTTTCCAAGGCAGGGACACAGCCCCTATTTGGAACCCTCACCATCACCAGACCCTGGGGTCGGCTAAGGGAAAGCATGTCTCGACCATTCGCCTTCCTACCCACCCCCCGCCTGCCATCCCCGGCCACAGGGGGACCTGGGGACTACCGGAGACTCTCTGGGAGGTGGACGAGGTGGGGGGCCCCCCACTCTTTCCCCCCTGCAGTCCCATAGCTGGGGCCTCCTTCCTTCTCAGGGTCTCCTTAGCCCAACCCTCCTGCCCCTGTCCCACTCGGTGCTGTTGCGTAGGGCCCTGCCAGGAACTGACCAACTCTTCAAGGAGCCATAGTGTGTATATGCGCACAAGCAGGGGCAGAGGGATGCCTGGGGGTCTGTGCCCAGGTGTTATCCCTGAACCCCTGGAGAGGGTGAGGCAGGGCAGGGACAGTCTCTGGGGTCAGTCCCAGATGGGTGGTTACCTCCCCGTCCCTCAAATGGGTTGGGAGGGCTGGGGTGGGGGCCCTCCTAGTGGGGTTTGGGGGGTTGGGTTCCTGAATGCACCATAATCGCTGTATGAAATATTAAAAAGTCTAAAGTGAAAAACCTGATTGCAAGTCCCTGCAGGGGTGGGGGTGGGCTCAATCCAAGGTGAGTCCTGGGACCTTGGAGAATTCATAACTGGTCCCCATCATCTAGGAGAGCACTGAGATGGGCCAGGGACATGGCATGACTATGAAAGGCATCTGAGGGGTTGCACACGCAACAGTGGAACATTGAGTTGAGGCAGGTAGGGCAGGCTGAATAGAGGATGAACTAAGAATCAAGCAGAGAGAAGAGATTCACCCAAGAGTATGAGGAAGCCAGATGGTGGGGCCTGGTGTTTGTAGAGGGGCTGTTTGTTTGCAAGACACTTGGGAAGGCCCAATAAAACCAGGAGGTAGGGCGGAGAGGCCCAGTATGACCACATGTCAGAACTGGACACCATGAGGCAGGCCAGTTGGAGAGGAAGTATGAGAGAGGCTAAATTTTGGACCACTGAGAGGTAGGGGAATCCTTTAATGGGTCAAATTCAGGAGTGGGGCCATCGATGGATGGAACTAGAAGTTTGGATTATTGGTGTCCAGGAAGTAACAGAAACCCTGGGCATGCGTGAGATAACCCTGAGAAGGATGCAGTGGCTACTGCAGGTAATAAGCCTAACTAAGGCTGGTTACTGAAGTCCAATGGTGGTGGCCCAAGGACCTCTAACCATTCCACTGTGCCCCTGTAAGCATTTTGGTGATATCTCAGCCTGCAGCCTTATGGTTGAATGATGGCTGCCATGTTCCCAGAGATGGGGAAGCAAGCAACAAACAGGACATCCTTCCTGTCTTACTTCCTTGTAACAGGGCTGAACCGTCCACAAGCTCCTCAACAGACTTCCAGTGCCATTCCGTGGCTAGAGTAAGATGATATGGCCACCTCTGGCAGCAAGGGAGGCTGGGAAAATGAGGACCTTGCAAAGGGAGGCAGGATTGCTAGGCCAGACTTCAAAGGACTAGAATTCACACAACTGCTCTGGGAAGTGGTGGGCCTTTGGAAGGTGAGGAAACCAAACAGTCTAGGCCTGGGGAGGGGAGGCCTCTTGTTGAACTGTAGGAAGGACAGGCTACCCAGTAAATGGGGAGGGGGAGTTTGTAGAGGGGCCATGAGGAGAGACAATTACAAGAATCTGACAAGATTCAGCTGGGCTTGAAGAGCAGCTACTTCCCATGTGCCAGACCCAACTCAGTGCCATTATAGAGACCCTGGGGTGAAAGGGCTGTTCTCTTCTCCCTCAGGGTTTACACAACCGAGTTGTAACCCCTCAGCTGTGCCAGGTCTGGGCTAGGGGCTGGAATCAACAGCAATAAAGACACAATCCCTGCTCTGAAGAGGTTAACTGAAAATAGAGGTAAATTATGATGTCTGGTGGATGGGTGGGGTTTGAAAATGTGCAGGGAGAGGGTATTTTGGACCCTCCAGGCCCAGGGAGCTGTGTGCACCAGCGTAGAGGTGTGGGAAGGCAAGCTGTGGTCTTGCTTGTGGGGATGGGTGGTAAGGAAGTCACTGAACCAGAGCCACAATCACCAGCCTGTCTTAGGGGGCAGCCAACAGGCAGGTAGATACAGGGAGCCAGAGACTGAAATATTCAAGTTATCAACAAGAGGTAGGGCTGGAAGCCCCAGGAGATAAGGATGGCAGAGCCTAGTGCAGTGGTTCTCAACCAGTGATCTCCACCCGCAGTGAACACTGGCAATGTCTAGAGACACTTCTGGGAATGAGACAATTAGGGCATGATAACTTGCTATTCAGTGGGTAAAGGGCAGGGATGCAGCTAAATATGCTACAATGCTTCCCATAACAGAAATGTCAATAGCGCCTAGGTTGAGAACCCCTGGCCTGGTGCAATGGTTCTAAACTTTGGTCACAATCCCCTTATAGTCTTAAAAATTGAGAACGTCTAAAGAGCTTTTGCTTATGTAGCCTTGGAATATTCCACACACACGCAAGAGAGAATGACAATGAAAAAGTATTGTGAAAATAGTTCTGACTTTGTGAAACGCTCCTGAGAAGGTCTCCTGAACTAGTAGGAAGGCTCGAACCACAGACTGAGAATCTGTGGCCTGGTGCTTAACGTCACAGCTCTGAGTTCGAACCACAGCTCAGCCATTTACCAGCCCGGACAAAATGAATGAACGTTTCTGGTCCTCAGCTTGCCCCACTGAAGTCCATAGGTGACCATGATATTTATCTACTGCCTAAGGCTACTATTTACGTGCAATAAAGCACTTAAACAGGGCCAATTATTAGCTGTCATTGCTATAACGCCAACAAATATACTGGGCCTGAGGCTGACTTGCCTTCAACACGTTTGCCAAGAAAATAAATCTAGTTCAGGCAGGGAAGCGGCCCGCAGGCCTGGGTGGTGACCTTTTTTGTACCAGGTTTTGATGGACGAGAAGAGCAGTGCAATGAAGGTAAGGCATTCTGGTCAGGCTAACAAAAACTCTCAGGGCAGGGGCCGCGGTTCCCCAGCAGAGCACGGGACCGAGAAAGCCCGGAACCTTTGTGTCCCTGAGCATTCCCCAAAATGTCCTCGTCCATATCGGGGACCTCCGCCTCCACCTTTCCACACAACCTTTTGCCCAGACTCAACATGGCGTTAAAATCCTACAAGGCACCTTTGTCTTTCTTAGTTCCCATCTCGAGGTTTTACCCCGCCCATTGGCCGCAGAGATCACCGCCCAGGGTCCGATGCCCGCCTAGCCCCTCCGCGCGTCCGAGCGTGGGGTCCCTTTCCAAGATGGCAGTAGACCCCTGGCTGTTTGGGGGGCTCTGTTTCCGTTTCCGGGACCAGAATCCGGAAGTAGCCGTTGAGGGGCCTCTTCCTATCTCCAACTGCGGTAGCTGCGAGAGGAGGGCGAACGGTGATGGCGGCGGTCGCAGCGAATGTGGCGGCTGCGGCCGAGGACCGAGAGCCGCAGCGCGAAGAAGTGCCGGGCCTTGAGAGCCAGCGGCGCCAGATCGAGAACGGCGAGAGTGGGCGAGAGCGTCCACTGCGGGCCGGCGAAAGCTGGTGAGGCAGGGCGGCGAGCAGAGCCTCTGCTGAGGGGCAAGTGGGGGCGTTGGCGACGGTGGGGGACGTGACGGCCGAGGTCCAAAGAACTGCCGTGGGGGCGGGGGAGTGGCTTGTGGGACTGAGGACGGGAGGGGCGGGGAAGTGCGTGTGAGTGGATCGCCTTGTCTGGGAAAGAGGCGGGGCCTGTATGGTGGCGCCTGAGGCCTGAGAACAGGAGAGGGTTTGTTGTGGAGAGGCGGGGGGCGGGGCCTGAGAAAGAAACGGCCGTGGGGGCGGGGCCGGGCCTGCGTGGTGGCACTCAGAACCTGGGAGAGGGCGGTCTCGGCGGCCGAGGCCGAGGGGCGTGGTCTGCGTGGCGTTAAGTAGCATCTGGCGGCAGGGGCGGCCTGCGGTTGCTTGGAGCCTGAGAATTAGGCAAGGGGGATGACGTCAGGCAGAAGAGCGGAATCTGAGCCGTAGAGCTGTGGGCGGGAGGGAGGGACTCGGAGCCTGCGTGGTGGAGGGAGCTGGCGCCTGGGAACGAGGCTTGTGACGTGGGCCGAGGGGCGTGTCCTGAGGCCGAGGAAAGACTGCAGAGGGGAGGTGGCGCCTGTGAAGCAGAAAATGGCGCCTGCGAATGAGCAAAGTTTGTGACGCGGCGAGGTTTTTGCCTCTGGCGGAGGCCTTCTTCCCAGGACGGGAGAAAGTGCAGGTGATTGGCACGGGAGGGGCCTTCGATGTTACATTTGCTTTCTGTTGTAGTACTGTTTTGTTTTTGTAATCAGGAGAAATAGCTATTTAAAAAAATGTCAATGCGTATCTTGATAAATCGGCTTGTTTTACTGATTTTGGCTAACCAGTGCTTGAAATGTACTGTTTCTGGGTTTATTTTGTTTCTCACCGAGTTGCATCTCATTGTCTAAATTGTGATATACGTAAGACCTAAAAAGATTGCATAAAACGTTTACGTAGCCCAGATTGATGGACATTCTGTAAAAAATAAACGGCC